GCAGTGTCTTATTTCACTAAATGATATTTAGCAAATTTTTACTTATTATTACTTTTTTCAGTTTCTAGTTATTTGAAATAAAAATTCTAATAATGTTATTATTAATAAATATAATGCTGTTAAAACCTATAAGGCAGCTTCTGTCTGCCAAAGCAGCAGACGCACGCGCCACCCTCTCACTCTCGCTCGACCACTCAGGCAGTGCGAGCTTACAGCTAGCTAGCTAACGGCCATTTAGCGGTGAGCCAGCGAACGGAAGAAAGACTCCAACGGTGCTGAGTCACGTTAATAACGGATGTCCGAAGCCAAACGGACAGTTAAACGGACTTTCTGAAGATTTTTGTGGATTGTCATGAACCTCTTTTCATGACAATCCTTTCAATCGTACAGTGCTACATGCTAACATTAGCCTTTGCTGTATCACATTCAGAACAACATACAGACTGATAAATAATAACTGTTTATAAAAAGGTAATAAAAATCATTAACTCAAACTATTATCCACTTATGAATGTTTGTTCAGGGTAAAGTGTTGGCCCAATAGCATTAGCTAGCTAACTCAGTAGTCAAGTGATTCAAGAAAAACATGCTAAAGAAGGTAACATAACATTTGACCGTTAACAGCTGTTTGCATGGGAAAATATGTATTCAGTGGTAAAACTACTAAGTACAGGTCTAGGTATACACTAAAAGATTAACTAATGTGAAAAAGAGAAGTGTGGCCATTGACAGGGAAGGTGTTCATTAGCCTACAGGTAAATTAGCCAAACACAGCTGTTTATGCTATCACGGCTATCCATCAGTATGACTCAGTTACGTTTGTTTTTTCTTTTCTGTAATGACAGATATCCAAATTGACTCAGCTAGAATGCCATGTACAGCTACAGCCAATGTTAAATCATCTTAGTGAGGCTAGCATCACATCAATATGATTATAGCTGACCCAACAGAGGAAAAACGATATTTAAGTTCTCGAAGAAAAAAAAAAAACTTGTGACTTACAAAATAACCCATCACGACTCGACTGCATTCAAGTTGTAAATATAAGTCTCTCATGCAAAAAGATCCTTAAAGTGTCTCCTCCTAAAAGAAGTCCAGTCCATAGGTGAGGGTCTTCAAACTGTAACTGGACAGCTGATAAATGTTTGAGAGTAAACAGCTTCTCCTCATACATTCCACTGAAAAATAAACGGTTAAAAATAAGCACTTGATAAACAGTGCACATATCCAGTGACTACTATTATGGGCAATAAAATCTCTTTATATATTCTGAAAATATATCAAACCATCCTACTTCCATAAAGTTTCCACATGCAGAAATCCTGCAGTATTTTTGTAATTCCAGTGTGAAGATGGAACTATTTGTTCTGCCGCGGTAGGAGTGTGAAGCGTCAGTGACCTTGTTCCGACCAATCAGCGTAACGCGATTGCTACCTTATGACGTCAGTGCGTCGGTCTGAGTGTAAACAAAGATGGTGGCGCCCTGTTGTAGGATGTGGCGTGGATGACAGTCGTGCTTGCTGTATGCATATTCTTGATCACTGCGGCGAGAACACCTGTGTTATAACTCAAGCACGATGGGACACTTTCAAGAAAATTGCGAAAGAGTGGATGTCACTGAAAGGGAGAGAGAGCAATGTCGTGTTGCCAACCAAGGAGGCGGTAGAGAGCCGGCATCCATGCTAGGCTAAAGACTAGAAGGACCGTCCTCCTACTCTCCAATGTCCGTTCCTTTGACAACAAGCCGGACGAGCTACGTTTACTGGGAGAAACCTGCAGAGAGTGGAGAGACTGCTGTGTGTTTAACAGAAACATGGCTCCATGACAACATCCCAGACGGACATACAGCTGTGACACAATGGTGTCCTCCTTGGTCGTCTCCCATGAAGTCCACTTTGGCTCAAACAACGACGGATGGTACGATCTGACACTGATGCACCTTGACCTTGGAGTTCACCTTGATTACAAGTTTGTATACACCTGTGATGCTAGTTAGAGGACACACCTTGATTG